GTCCCCGCCCGCTCCCTTCGCCTCCCGGGCATCCCGCCAGATGCGCGCCCGCCCTCCTGGCTTGGAGAGGAGCCGAAAGGGAGCTTGGGTTTGGGGCTTGCACTGTGCTGCGGGGACGTCCCTCGGGCGCTGCGTGAATGAGGCTGGTGAGACACCGGCCCAGGTTGCCCAGAGAGGTGGGAGATGCCCCGTCCCTGGAAACACTCAAGGCCGGGCTGGACGGGGCTCTGAGCAACCTGATCTGGGTGAAGATGGCCCTGCCAGTTGCAGGGGGGATGGGCTGGATGACCTTTAAAGGTCCCTTCCATCCCAAAGCCTTCTGTGATTCTATGAATAAATCCTTTCTTTCCTCCGCAGACTGCCTACCAGACCGAGCTCGGGCAGATGCTGGACCTCATCACCGCTCCTGTTTCCCAGGTGGATTTGAATCGCTTCAGCGAGCAGAGGTAAAGAGACGGAAGGGGACGGAGGCGCCGGCCCAGCTGTGGCAGGGTGGCTCTGCTCGCAGTCCCTTCCAGACTGTGCGAGAGATCCAGCTGCTGGCTGAAACGCTGCCGCTGCCTGCCAGGCTCTGGGGAGCAAATCTTGCTGGCGCTGTCAGAGCTCGGGAGCTGGTTTGGAGGGAGATGCTGCTTTTCTCCTGCTGGCCCTGATCTGCGGAGCCCTGGTGGGAGGGGAAGGCCCGGGCTTTGCTGCTGAGCGTGGTTCCTCTGCCGCAGGTACAAGGCCATCGTTAAGTACAAGACGGCGTTCTACTCCTTCTACCTGCCCGTGGCCGCTGCCATGTACATGGTGAGTTTTGCGGAGGTCTCGGGAGGGGCCTCGCCCTCGGTGCGAGGCTGCCGAGGCGGGCAGGGGGGCTGGGAGACGGGACGAGTAAGGGTGGAAGGCAGGCGCTGGAAGGCTTTATTCCTTTTTCCCCCTCTTAGACTGGTATCGACAGTAAGGAGGAGCACGACAACGCTAAAGCGATCTTGCTGGAGATGGGCGAATTCTTTCAGATCCAGGTAGGAGGTGGCTCCCTGCCCCCCGGTGCTGGTACGGCACTGGGTGCGGTGCTCAGGTGCGTCCATCGCCGCGCAGGATGATTACCTGGACTGCTTTGGGGACCCGGAGCTGACGGGGAAGGTGGGCACCGATATCCAGGACAACAAGTGCAGCTGGCTGGTGGTGGAGTCCCTGCGTCGGGTGACGCCGGAGCAGCGGCAGATCCTGGAGGTAACGGTGCCGGGCTGGCGCAACGCCCCGCCGATGGGGGCGAGGGGGCGCGGACTCCCTCCCCGAGGACGCGGTGCGGAGGGAGCGTAGCGCCGTAACGCACACCCGAAAAGCCACGTGCCGCCCTGGTCGGCCGCGCCGCGCCGCTGCCTGGCCGGGAGCAGGGCTGGTTGTCGTGAGCAGGCAGAGCCGGAGCTGACTCCTGCCGCGCTTTGAACGGGCAGCGGCCGTAAGCTGGACCTCGGCCTGACTTGTTCTGGTGTTTTCTCAGGAGAACTACGGCCGTAAGGAGCCCGAGAAGGTGGCAAAGGTGAAGGAGCTCTATGAGGCTCTGGGCATGAGGGCTGCTTTTCAGGAGTACGAGGAGAGCAGCTATCGGCGCCTGCAGGAACTGATCGGAAAGCACGCCGCCCGCCTCCCCAGGGAGATCTTTCTCGGCCTGGCTCGGAAGATTTACAAGCGGCAGAAGTGATGGCGGGCCTGGCCCGGGACTGCTTCGTCTGGCCGAAGGCGGCCTGGT